TTTTTCCTTCCACTCAACTTTCTATGAATATGCTTGGATACAGCACTCTGTGAACAACCAGCTTCTTTAGCAATTAACTTTTGTGGCTTACACTCTTAAAAATAAAGGTGCTTCACGATGCCATAGAAGAACCTTTTTGTCTAAATGGTTCCATAAAGAACCTTTAACATCTGAAGAACCTTTCTGTTTCACAAAAGGTTCTTTGTGGCGAAAGAAGGTTCTTCAGATTATAAAAACGTAAGAAAGAGATGGTTCTTTAAAGAACCTTTGACTAAATGGTTCTTTGCAGAACCAAAAATGGTTCTTCTATGGCATCGCTTCAAGAACCTTTTGAAGCACCTTTATTTTTAAGAGTGTACCCTCCTTGTGGAGGGTGTCAATGACTGTCTTCTGGACATCTGTCAAGTCAGCAGTCTTCCCCATGGTTGTGTAGCCTACTGAACCAGACTGAGAGACCATTTAAAGGCTCAGGAAACCTTTGCAGGTGTTTTGAGACACCATGACACCATGACTTTCCAATATTGAACTTTTTCACAATATTCAAACTTTCTGAGACACTGAATTTTGGGTTTTCATTATATGTAAGCCATAATCATCAACATTTCAAGAAATAAAGGCTTGAATATTTCACTCTATGTGTAATGAATCAATGTAATATATAGGTTTCACTTTCTGAAATGAGTGACAAAAAATATTGACCTTTTTCATGATATTAACATTTTTTGAGATGTACCTGTATGTGTTCTGTATTCATGAATCCATCTGCTCTAATCGCTGTGCTTCATTTTCATCCACTAAAAATGTAATTTGTACTGAATAGGTTTGTAAATATTTTTTAGTGAAGTGGACTTCGGTGATCGCTCTGCATTGTTTTCATTCACTAATAACCGTCTAGTATGATCGAGTCATTTGTTTGTGAATCGCACTGCAGTGATTGCTCTGGGGTGCGATTCCCAAAAGCAACTATGGTCGCAAGTTCCGCCATTACCAATAAAGTTCAATGGAACTAACGACCATAGTTATCTAACGATGCTTTTGGGAAATGGTTTTTATTCACTAAAAATAACCAGCTTAGACACATCCGTTCCTGAACCGAATTGCGCTGATCGCTCTTCATGGGTTTCATTCACTAAAAGAAACTGCTCATAAGAGTCATTTGTTTGTGAATCATATATTTGTTCATATATCATGCCACTTCTAAATAATTGAACTGGGTGTGATTAGAACTGGATTCGAATTTAGCTGCACTTGTTGTATATGGTGATGAATCAGGAGATTGTATGTGTATTTGTGTTTTCACAAATTCTCTGTAGTGTCATTTGTAGGTGCATTTTGTGTGAGAATGTGTTGTTTTGTGAAGTTGTGTGGTACATTCTAGTTTGACTAGACACACACACACACACACACACACACACACACCAGCAGCCCTCAGGACAGACTGTGTCCCTCTGAAACATTAATTTCCAAAATATCAATGATTCATTTTGAATTAAATATATTTTAATAGGCATAGAATAAAGCTCATATCTGCCTCAGTCCAGAAGATGTTCATAGCATGTGTCTGACAGATGATCGTAGAGTCACAGAGCCTCTTCTCTACTCATAAGAAACTGTATTGTATTGTCATGAATATGATTCTTCAAATGACCATTGCATGCAAGGGGAAAATATTATATCCTTTAGAAAAGTAATAACACACCTCATCTCAAGGCACATGAGGTTGAGATACATGATAAAGTTTAATATTTAGTGTTGTTGTTGGTCTAAACCTTGAGTGGAAGCAATAGTTATAGTGATGTTTGATGTTCTTAAACACCACTAATTATGCTCTATTTAAAGGATATGTAGAGCTGTGCAAAGCAGACAAGCTGCTCTAAAGTGTATAATTTTATTTTCTTTAATTTTAAACTATTCTATCCACAGTCTGTGTGTTGATGATCTGTAGACAGTAGTGTTAGTTTCTGCTCTGAGTTTGTTGTCATCTTTTTAAGTTGAGCTCAGTTTTCTTCAGTCAGACAAACAATCAATCTTTTTCATGCTTTGTTCGTATTGTTGTGTCTCAGCCTTAGACAGATCATTCATGTATCGCTTGATGCACATTGCACAAAATGGCCTCAGTCTCAATGTCAGAGATGTCAGTCTCAATTTACAAGGTTCCAGTCAAGACAGCTACTGTACAAACAGCATTTTTGAGGAACAAGAACCAGTCACTAGATTTTACAACATTTGATTGGTTTTGTTTGTGACACGTAGAAGTCTTATTACTTATTACAACATCTACACATTTTTTTAAAGGAGGCCTATTATGCCCCTTTTTACAATATGAAAATGTAGGTCTCAGGTGTCCCCAGAATGTGTCTGTGAAGTTTCAGCTCAAAATACCCCACAGATAATTTATTATATCATTTTAAATTTGCCTATTTTGAGTGGAAGCAGAAACACGCTGTTTTCGTGCATGGCTCTTTAAATGCAAATGAGCTGCTGCTCCCCGCCCCCTTTTCCAGAATAGTGCTGTGCCTTTACAGCTCATTCCTCAAATACTCTGTTAAAAAACATGTGTTTGGTTTTGATTACCATGTCTATTGCACTGAAATCATGTGTTTTAAACCATACTAGTTTAAACTTCTGATATACGGTTTTCTGAGTGCACACATCCGAAGCTAACGCACAGAAAGCGGCTGTCACAGCATGTGAGTACTAAACTAAGTTCTCTTTCATGTCTTATTGCGCATAAACTGTCAAATACACACAAGTTTATGTTAAAAACACACAAGTTACAAAAACAGCCGTTTATGTCTGTGAAGGTAAACAGCTGGGAAAGAAATTGCATGTTTATATTAGATCTGTGTGGCAGCAGCGTAATATACAGTAAATAAATCAATAAATGCACTGCTCTCTTGTCTCCTCTGAGGCTGGGACTCTGAATAGTGTTCTTTGATCAGTGCAACCAAAGACAGAACAGTTAGCATGCTTTGCTCAAGCTTTCACCATGGCATTAGAATTAGTATACCATTGTTGCTTGCGAAAACACAATGGCGACACCGTGGGTGGAAACTTGCAGATTAAGGGGTGGTAATATTATAATCTACGTCACGGGGCGGCTCGTTTTTTCACAAGCCTGCAGAGAAAAGCTTACCAAAAAAATTACTGGGTTGTTCTTTTTCATGTTTTGTGGGTTGGTAGATACACCAGGGACCTGATTATAGCACTTAAACACAGAACAAGTCAGATTTACATGATATGTCACCTTTAACATTACTCCTACTTATGAGTCCTTTGGTATGTTTGTCAAGTTATGATTATTTATATAGTGCTCTGTGCAATGTGCTTTAAAAGTACCTTTACAGTAACAAGTCAATTTGTTTATTTAAATATAAATATTAAATGAAAAAGTTAAACTTAAAAAAATATATATTTGGTATAACTGAAATAAAGTATAACAAATAAGCTAAATAGAAATATAAAAAACTAATAAAAATGACAATGAAACTGTTTTCGTTTTGTGAACTGAAACAAATGAGCTAAATAAAAATATTAAATACTATAATAGCATATAAATACTGAAATGAGTATCAAAGTTTTTTAATTAAAAAAATCAATCAACTACAATTTAAATGGTTTCAAGCAGTGTACAGAGAAATCAATAAATTCTACTGGGTATTTTGTAATCATATGTCAAACTAATTTTTTGTGCATCTTTTGGACAACTAAGGCAAGATACTGCAGGCAAAAAAAAAATTTCATACACTAGTCAATTCTGAGATTTTGGGATATTTGGCTTTTCGTTACACGTTGTCTTTCATGCTAGTGGAAAGTAAACATCTCCAACAGCCTGCAAATTTCAGTCTTTATTTTATTACACTATCTACAGTATTTGCATCTGTACTTTTTAAATTATAATACATCTTTTAATGTACATCTGTTTTCACAAAATTAGTTTTTTTCTCATTTAATTAAGCATACTGTACATATTCCTATCTATATTCTAGTTTTTACAGAAGTGCTTGTTCATATATCATTTATCTGATTTATAGAACATTTTATTCCAAAACAATAGTGATAAAAAGAAATTCTAAATCCCCTTTGTACATATATGTCAACAAAACCAATCAAATCAAATTTCTGTTTTGGAAATGTATGCAAATGTGCGCATATTTAATTAGACAATCTGCATATTTTAACATACCATTTCATAAAACCTGTAATGCAATCCAATTATCTTAATGCACTGTGATTAATCAATCAAATACTGGTTGTCATTTTGACCCTTTTCACCTGTGCTAGTAGCTGGAAAAGCTTCGTGTTGAGCCCTGTGAAATGAGCGGATAATGAGAGATGGATTTTCTGAAGTGTTTTCACTTTTGTCTAGAAGGTTGGGCTGCCATTTCTGCTTTCAGATGACGACACACACACACACACCAGGATCGCTCGCTCACTTCCTCTGTTCTTTATTCCTCTGCCAGAGTGTTTCTGTCTCCTGAGGTTTTTCTCATTCCCTGGTTGACGTCCTCTTCCTCTTTGGCATTAACTCTCTCTCGCTCTCTTTATATCTGTCTCCAGGGTGGGAGGACGAGAGACAGAGAGAGAGAGAGAGATTTGGACGGACAGAAAGAGAGAAAGATTAATATGCATTGATGAAGGAGGATAGAGAGAGGAAGGATCTACAATTTAAGTGCAGACACGCACACGCTGAACTAGACATCAACAAACACACGTTTCGCTCTCATCTGAGCGCGGCGCTGTCTCATGCTACAGGTGTGTAGCGGCGGACAGCAGTTATGGGTCTCGTCATGGGAGCGTTCTCCATGCAGAGCAAACAGGTGAACTATCACACAGGTAAGAGCATTTCTGTGCATTTTATGACCGAAACAGCTAGATTTTTGTTTGTTTGTTTGTTTTCTGGAGATAATTTGGCTTTTTTTGCACAGGGAAATCTTGCATTATTAAGGGGTTCCTAAGTGTTTTCAATGTTTTTTAGCATGTTCCTATGCGGTTGCTAGGGTTTTCTGGGTGGTTGCTAGGTGGTTGTTTATTGCCTGCAGTGAAAAGCGTCTCTGTGATCTTCTGGTCTGTAGATATGACTCAGGTTTTGCTTTCCATGTGGATTTTTCCTTCGCCTGTTTTATGAAAATGGTGTGCTTGAGCACTCAGATTGAAGAAAAATATGGTGTCTAAACATTTTGCACTCACAAATGGCTAGTTAACTTCACATTTAATCAAAAAGAAACAGCAAGGTACTCGTTGAAATAAATGTTATTTTGAAGAAGGAAGAATTTTTTTATAGTGTTGTAGAGATTTGATCAGATCACTAAGGATGAGAGTGATGCTCAACTAGGCAAACTGCAATAATAAGCATTTGTCATATGCTGTTTGAATGTCACTGGCTTAATGATATGCTCTAGAATATGAAGTTTTCTTACTACACTAAGTGCATAAACCTTTATAAACAAATTAGCATGAGCCAGAAATGCTTTTATGTGTTTGGCTTGTAGGAGTGTTTGGCTTTGTGTTTCTTCAGGTAAAACAATGGCAAATCCTATCGTATGTGTGCGAGCGGCGTTCACTCATAGATCTCTCTCTCTCTCTCTCTCTCTCTTCACGCTTTCTCTCAATGTTCCCGGACGAGACGTTGTGTAAATACACAATGAGCTGGCGGTCTATAAAAGGTTATGGTATTCACTCTAGCATTAAATCAGCTTCTCTGTGTGTGGCTTTGTGAAAATCTGAAAACCTGTTAGGTTTGTGTGACGGCTGGATTTAGGGGCAGGCCAGTGGGATTCACAGTGGTACACAGAGCTGGGTAGTAACTGATTACATAGAATCTGGATTGCGTAATCAGATTCCAAAAATTAAGTACTTCTAGTTAGATTAAATTACATTTTAAAATACTCCTAATCAGACTAAAATTACTTTTTTGTTGATTTACATGATTAGCCTACATATAATTCACACAATAGCAATACATTATTCATAATTTATCGATTCTCCCCAATTCCTCTTTTTCCTCTTTTAAATGTTCCTTTCTAAAATAGCCTACTGTTCATAGAAAGTCTTCCAGTTTCGTGGACATTCACACAGAGATCAGTCATTAGTCAGGTGGCTACACTGCATTTACAAAAATCATTTAAGGTTTAAGAAGTGTTTCAACATTGCATCAACTATCGATGAACAACACATTTAATTTTATTTGAATTATCATAGGTTATTTGAAAGGCTTTTGTAAAATACACAAATTAACGTTATTTCTTATTTGCATGTAATGTTGGGATCCCCAAACTTTTTTGTCATCTGAACCTCTTTCACCTTATATATTTTTGTATGAAGATTTTAAAATAAATATTTTAATAATTATCATATTTGCATGTTCACGGTTCTCTGACGTTGGGTAATGGTCACATGACATGCAGGTAAACAAATAAAATAATTAAATTTTTTTAGTAAGTGTTTTATTTGATTGATGCCATTTTAAAATGACTTATTTTAATTTAACATTTTTATGATTTCATTAATTATTAGCTTTTCATTAAACTCACGAAACCCCTGCAGTTAATTTTATGAACCCCAGTTTGGTAAACCTTGACGTAATATAATGTTTAATGCACTTTATGCTGTTAATTACAACGAATGGAATATATTTTCTTTCTCTTTGTATTTTTATATCAATATGGTACAAAATTATCCTATTTAAATCAATGTGATACACGAGTTAGGTCAAAAGTAGTCTGATTATATTACCTCAAATTTTAAAATTTAATGGCTTTGAATGCAGACATTAAAAGTATGAAAATACATCCAAAAAGATTCTGTCCGCATGTTATTACAGGTCAAGCTTACAATGTGAGACATCATTTTAAACATTATATGTCCTTGTGTTTCTATCCACTGTTGAATGAAAAAACACCCTCTCATGATGGAAAACCATACAAATTCATAAGAACTTGAACACACAGCAAATAATGGAACTAAAAGAGTAAAAAAATCATTGAAAGGTTAAATGTAATGTTTGTGTTGAACATTGTTATATTCTGATATAATAGTTTCTAGTCTGCTGCACTCATCTCAGAGTTTGGGATTGAAAACCATAATTGCCAGTTGTGACCTTTTAAATTGTCCTGTACATACAATAGCAGACTGAATCAGATTGAATAACGTCTGTATGAACAGTTAACTGAAGTCAGTCCTCACCCCCACCCTTTGACCATATCATATCTATATGTCCTGAACGTTTCAGGTATAATCTCTTTGCTTATATAATGTGATTTGTTGGTCACTGAGTGCGTTAACAAGCGGCGAGTAAAAGAGCCACGTCCAGGGCCGCATTAGCATTCAGATCACTAGCTGCTGTGCTTTTGTATTGGTATCCAGACACACAGAGGTCTGTGCTGTGGGATTACAGGTCTCCTCTACTAATAACTAATGGCTAAATTAGCTTTCATGAATAAATAATATCTAGATTACTATCTGTCTGTGTAAGTCATACTAATGAAGCACTTTTGGCCCAGGGCTTCATGGGAGATTGGCTCTGTTTGTTCACATTCCTTTAAATAAAGTTGAAGTATTTCACTGAGCTGCTGTGTGTGTATGTGTGTGTTTGTGTGTGTGTG